CTATATGTCTCTCTGACCAGAATTCATCTATTTACTGCTAGAGATTCTTTTCTATCCCCAGGTCGTATTGTGCCACTTCACTCACTTCTCTTCACCTTCAGGTCACCAAGCAGAAATGAACTAGCTCCCATCATCCACGTTAACATGTCAAGGAGAACCTGGATGAGCCATTCTCTCACTAGAAAAAAGCACTTCTAGTATTCTTCACTCTGGTCTAGTAAATGGTTGTGGCCAGGTAAAAAGATGTACAGAAAATGATAGGTATTGTAGAAAAACAAGAAATCAAGACCTTATCTTCATGATCTCATGCCTCTCTAGGGAATGGTCTTGCACGGGTTCCATTGTGAGTTAAACTTAAATCAAACGGGCGCAAACGAAAAATGCAGTTTCTAGAGGTGCCAAAAAGAGTGACTTTTGTACAAGATTCATCGCGAGGCAACACGTGAAAATAATCATGTCCTTGAGATGTTCAGCTATCAATGAAAATCATGAAATAATCAAGCAACCAATTTCTGGAGAGTAAGATCTTGTACAATCGTATACTTTTGACATGCACATACATACACCGTGACACAGCAAGCTTTCCTAATTTCTTTTTCACTCAACCTTTGCTCCCGATTATTCTGGACACTCATTTTTCTGAACATGTGTTGCACTGTTTGCATATTAAACAGCTGTCTCTAGAAAATGCTGTCCTTCTTGATTGTTGCTGTTTTGTCAAACATCTAGAAAGTGCTCTTGTACCTACGTTCATATCCCATGAATGTTAAGAAAAAAAATGCTATAGAATGTCCTGTGAATTGGTAAGGCATGGAAAACACACATGATTGCATCATCCCTTCAAAAAAGCTGGTTAGAAAACGGTGGGGCTCAATATCCGGGCCATGTGCATCCATGTAAATGACCCTCTGTCGACGGGACGACTGGGGACGGGACCATCTACTAGCCTTGCTCCGTTCGTAGCGATGCCCTTTGCTCCGTTCGTAGCGTTCTTGCTCCGTTCGTAGCAAGGCCAGGAGCCCCCAGTAGCCTCCTTGCTCCGTTCGTAGCGATGCCCATTCTGGGGGAAATCACGAGGATCTCCCATCCACACCCGCTCCTCGGACTCGTCGTCGGAGTCGGCATCGAGGCGGATCGCGATGGCCGACAGGGCCGACGAGCCGCTCGCGCGGTGCTCGGCCAGGAAGCGCCGAGCAGCGGTCACCAAGGCCTCCGAGCGCGAAAGCGCGTGAGCAACGTGAAGCGTGAGAAAGCGCGTGTCTCTAAGCAGAAGGAGATGGAGACTTGAAGAGAAACGTATTTAGAGACAGTGGGAGCTGCTGTTCATTTGCATCAGATATATCAGGAACCAAACGAGTTTTATATGTGAAAACCATTGAAAACCCAGCCATCTAGCCGTTCGATGATGTCCATGATCGTCCATGCAATCCGGCCCTCGGCCGCCTCTTCACCTCGGCTTGAAGAGCTCGGCCGTGAGCCTTGATCGTCCAAAGGGGATCTGCCATGGATCTGCCATGGGTCTGCTATATGATCTGCTGGTTCTTGGGATATGCTGCAGTTCAGCATGTTCGTCTTCTTCTTGCGGCATCTTTTTGCCATCTTTAAGATTAATTGTGGTTCCTCCAGATTTGGGAAAAGGCGGGGACAGGACACTCATCACTCTGCTACATTTGCCCACTCAGCCTGAGTCTTGTGAAGGTGTTCCAGTGGAGCTCAGATGTGGCTCCTCTGCCGCTTCTCCCTGTGCCGCAAAACAACGATTAGAAGCTTTCCGTGCGCTGTTCGAAAAGAGAAAACCATTAAATATAATACAAAAAAAAAATATATATATATACATGTATATAGATATATCAAAGACGATCTGCTGTCAGGCTGTGCATCACAGTCAAATTTCATCATGCAAAAGTCTGAACCCCACTCCGACTCGAATCCTGCTCTATTGGTCTCATGTTCATGTTCCTTCCAAACAGAAACAACATCTCCTTCGCTGTCTTCCATGGATTTCAGCCCCACCCTTCAGCCTTCCATGAAGGCGACACAGTACTCCGCACAGATCTTGAATCTGCCTCAGCAAGCGATGCTGCCCCATTGCTAGGATTTTCTGCTACTAAGTGTTGTCGCCATGAATTTGCTCGTCTTGTTACTACTAGTAAGGCACCTGTTACTACTAGCGTGGCACTTGTTTCTACTAAGTCTGGGGCCACATCTGCCTTTGGAAGATGCAGCTTCTCATGGGGCTGAACCGCCTCAGTTCGACCGAGTTTGCCCAAAAACGCTCAAAGACCTCTCCTGTGGTGCATAGCTCTGCCCACCCACAGAGGGTCTTCCTGGTCTTCCTCTATATAAACGCACCTCGTGGTATGGTATAACCAGCACTGGTGTTCTTGGGTTCTGCACCAGTTCCACCAGTGCCTGCACTCAGGCCCTGACTCGCCACCATCGAGCAAAAATGAAGGCCAATGGATGGCTCTTTGGTTGCGACCTGTCTGAGTCGTGTGGCGGATCATCAGACTGACAAAGAAACCCAAGAAGATCGGACCATCGATGAAGCAATCATGCCAACAGAAATTCAACCGTGTGCAGCCCGTTTTGGGATCCATCACATCTCCCTCCGTCGACCTCAGCAGCTTTTCCGGTCGACCAGCCCAGCGGCCCCGGTGGCCCCACCGGATCTTCGCAGTCCCCGGTGCTGCAGATTCGAAGCGTTGCACCAACTTCCCCACCGAGTGTCCACGGGACCTGGTGGCTGAACGACCAAGTTGGAAAACGGACATCAAAAAATACAGCAAACATGTCTGTCATCTTCGGAAACATGTTTGGGGGTCCTGATTTGAAACAAGCCATGACATCAAACCATGACTTAGCGGACTTTCAACCCTTCAATTGGGTGACATCGGCGCATGGTGGACTCATGACATTCTTCAAGAAGGGGCAGCTCTGATGGCGCTGGACAGCTCTCAAGATGAATGGATCAACTCACAAATCCGAATGTGTAGTAAGTGTAGATGTGGGCCATCAAAACCTCTAGAGGAGGGCATCGGTTCTTTTCTTGGATGCCCTATCGTTGTGCAAGGTTGTGCACCCATTGAGCACGGGCAAGTTACTGTAAATCGTTGACGAAAACCAACATGCGCAGGTTTTGATTGGTACGGGTGCACGTTTAATTTGTGATTGTTTTTCCTGTTTTTTTCGGGACATTTTTTCAAAAACATTGGAATAGAGCTGGTTTCTTATTAGTACCTAGCTAACTACAGCAATTTCGTGTCCTTAACCGAGACACAGGTGTCGTAGCTATTGGAATAGTGCAGATTTCATATTAATTGCTAGCTGATTAGACTAATTTGGGAGCTGTCGTAGCTGGCAAAATACATTGGCATAGTGTAGGTGTCAGAGAAAGTCCTAGGAGGCATATATGATTGGTTAGAAGTTTATGCCCCGGGGAGTTCACCTTAAAATATTGATTTCGTGGCAGGCGCGGGTGTGGGAGATAAGTGCAGATTTCGTGGCGCGGGGGGGGTTGGGGGGGGCGCAGCGCCCCCCCCCAGCAGCACACCAGATCCAAAGGTTAGAAAGCAAACAGATGGAAAAGCAAAAACAAAGTGAAAGGAGAACAGCTGCCAAAGCAGAAAAGCAGCAGAAGCAGAAAAGCAGCAAAAGCAGAAAAGCAACAAAAGCAGCAGAAGAAGAAAAGCAAAAGCAGAAAAGCAACAAAAGCAAAAACGCAGCAGAAGCAGAAACGCAGCAAGAGCAGAATCCCCCCCAAAAAAAAAACAAAAAAATGTAAAAAAACGAAAAACAAAAAAAAAGGCCCTCCGATTGGTACTCATATGTTGTGTCTTCCTCACAAAGGGCACCTAGTGAGCACGATTTGTTCCTTCATGTCCCTGTTGCGTCCTTCCTTCCCTCATCTGCCTCCCTCCCTTCCGTGTCAACGGTCGGTGTGCCACGGCCCCACCGACTCGACCCGTCGCCTCGCCGACATGACTCCTGAGCGGGTGCTGCGTTCGTGAACGGCCGTCGCACGCGGCGAGCGATGCTGCACCAACGGCTTTTCGCACGGGGTTTTCTTCATTCTGCATGCCGTGAACTCTCGGCAATTGATGCCGGATGCTGTTCATCGGCAGTTGGCAGTTAAGTGGGAATATCACTTTTCGACCCAGAAATGCCAACACACTTGGTGCTGAAAACATTCAAAAACTATATCTCAAAAAGGGGGATCCCTCCCAAGCAGTTCCGGCAGCTGCTAAGCCACCCGCCGCCAGAGTGCCAGAAAGGCCACAAAGCTCGCTCGCTGCAACGAATTCGGCTGCACGTGGTGTGAGAACGTCCTTTGCGAGAAGTTCGATGAAGTTCGTGCGTGGATCTCCTTATTCACATCAAGATTTAAGACCAAACAAAGCAGTCTTGGCACTCTGGTTCTACCAACAAAGGTTTGGTAAGGCTGATGTTCCAGTGTCTACACTAGATATCCCACCTTCTGCAAGACTTGAGTAGTCGGCGTGGTTGATAGACCTGCTTTGACGTTTCTCATGTTTAGTCCCTGCTGCTTTGTGTAGTTGCGGTCAGAACACGTCAGAACTAATTTATTAGGGCAAGCCCAGTACATTCACGTCTTGATTGTGGAGGACATTTAGGTAGAAAACATGAGCCCTTCATCGTTTACCTTCCCATTCTCTGGCGGGATTGTGAAACTGTTTTTCTACAGCACTTGACGTTTGTATGCGAATACAACATGGTGCTGATCATGGTATACTTAGGACACACTCGCAGGACCTGTGTCCCTCACACGAACTTGCAGCAACGTGCAAATTTGAGCCGAGAACTATCGTGCACGGTTCACATTGTGTGAAGTTCAAACAAACAATCTGCATCCTTTTTCATGTCACAGAGGTTTTTTTCATCAAAGGGTGCAGTCAGTTTGTACTTGGAACCTGCAGTCCTCATATGTTCTTGAGTCCAATGGCACTGCGGCTGATCTCATACCCGGTTGATCCGTGGGCCTTGAAGTAGGCCACCAGCGGTACGGCCAGCAACATCCCTGTGGGACCCCAGATGAACCTGGTGACCGCGTCAAACACAACACATTGGAACAGTTGAAGCCGAAGGCGGATGGCACTGATGCGAGTCATGAGATGCGTTGAGGTGACCAGGTTGTAACCAGCTATGAGCTCTACGAAGCTCACCAGCCGTAGGAGTGTTCGTTGTAACCAGGTTCCTCCGGGACTCAACACAGACGAACCATAACATCATCACGTTCATCGCCTCTCCGAACGAGGTTCTTCATCGTGGTTGAAGTCGCGCTATGACGCAATCCCCAAGATCGCGACCCAAAGAAGGTCACGGCCATAAGGATCACCACAGGATGCCTCAACGACACCAACAGGCACTGATCATGAACAATGACACGGAGAGGCTTGGCCATTATTGATGTTCATCGCACATGTCAAACGCATTTCAACAAACTTCATGGCAGTTCCTGGGAGGAAGTGCCAAAATGCATGAAAAAAAGTAAACCCTTCAAAGTCCAGCAAAACCGCAGGGTTGCCACAGATGCTCATCAGATCAGATCTGTGGAAGGTACAGCTTCATGAGCTGATCCGCTTCCACCAACTTCACCTGGCAAAATCGTTCTTCGGCGTTCCGCTCTGTCTCTGATTTTCTCTCGCAGATCCACTGTTCCTGCTTCTTTTTGAGTGCTCATAAATAAGCTTCACCTCTTCAGAATCTTCTAAGTGACCAAAAAAACCTCTCACATCCTATGTACCAAGAAGTGCCCTCAAGATGGCTGGTCTCTCGTTCCGAGTTGTCGGATGAAGACGGATGGCCCGTTGCACCGGAAGACCGGATGCACGGTGTGCGTGGACCGCCTCGACCACATTGGCGAAGACGAACTTCAAGCCCAGCTGCGCCGAGGTGGCGACCTGCGAGGGCGCCCAGAGGGTGAGGGCGGGGAGAGAGGGTGATCGCGCCTCTAGTAAGGCCAGGAGCTAAGGACTAGTAGCGCCCCTGCTCCGTTCGTAGCGATGCCAGGAGCCCCTAGTAACTTCGTGTTTCTAGTAGTAAGGCAAGGAGCTACGTTCGTAGCTTCCTTGCTCCGTTCGTAGCGATGCCCTTTGAGCCCACTAGTAGCTTCATATGTACTGGCCCAATAAAAGGAAGTGATGTTCAAGAAACATGTTAAACACGTCGACGGAAAGCAACATAATTCACATCCCTTCATCGGTTCCCTTCATCGGTTCCAACGGCCAAGCCGTTTGGGTTTTGGGATCCCTCGGACGGCGCTCTGCTCGCCAAGCTGCAAAAAGGGTCATGCCAGGAGATTCCAGGCGACTGGCCCGGTGCGGTCAGCGGACGTTGGTTTGGGTCGGTGGACGAAAGCTCAAGGGCTACTGTATGGGTTGGTGGCCCAAAACTTCGATATGCATCGCTGAAGGACAGGAGTTGGGACCTCTTTGAAGATGTTATGTGACTTGTTGTTTTATATGGATCCGACCCACTGACTTCAACTCCTGCGGCATACACACAGGTGATTGCTATGCAATTAAGAGCCCTCTTTATGTCTTCACAAGAAAATGGCGAACGAAGTTCTGCACGAATGGCACGCCTGTCAAAGAGGATCACGGGCGCCGGCAGCAGCAATGCCACAATGGCACCGACCTGTGACGCTGTGCTACTCCGGTCGCGATCCAACCATCAGCGATCGCAGTTCACTCGACGTGTCACCCCGCAGAAAGAGTCGAACGATGATCTGTGAGACCTGTCGAAGCAAGAACCCTCGACACTCAACCGCACGTCCTCACGTCCTCCCAACCTCCGGTACAAAGCTCAAAAGGAAGGCGAAGAGCCCGAAGAAGGGCGCCAAGTCCACGCCTCGTTGGCGCGCCGAGCGTGGTGGGTGGCCGCTTTCGATCGGAACGGTTCTTTTGGTCGTGATTGGGGCGAAGCAGACTCTTCGACACACCGAAGAAAAAGCATCAAACCATAGAAATCATATTGGAATCACTGGGTGCCGGTCAAATGCCAAATGACTTGTGTTCAACATACAGGAGCCCCTAGTAGCGTCCGTGTTCCTAGTAGTAAGGCCAGGAGCCCCTAGTAGCGTCCTTGCTCCTGGTAGTAAGGCCAGGAGCCCCTAGTAGCGTCCTTGCTCCTAGTATCACTTCGTACCAAGTTCCAAGTCCCAAATCCCATCCGCCCGCCTAAGCTGCCAAGCAGGACACCGACACACAGACCTGGTCGTGGTCGAGAAAGAATCTCGGTGCTCCCTCCGGGCGGAGGACCAAATGACATGAGTTCGTCAAAGAAGAAGTGTAAATCGTCGCCATTAGGGTGAAGGCCATTGCTATTAGGGTGGAGACCATCGCCAATAGAAACAAAGAAAAAAACAAGAACAGCTTCCAGCTGCCCTTCATCCATCTCCATCCTCCCCTTCAAATCAGCCAGCACCCATGGGTGTTCAACAGCCTGTTTGGGAGAAAAACGTCCCGTCCCAACTTGGGGCTTCCGAGCCGTAGCCACAGCAGGCCAAACCCTTCAGCATGATGTATCGCCTAAATAGCTCCTGTGAGCGACAAAGGGACATTGCGAGCAACATGAAGAACATCATCCAGAAAGTCCAGAAAAGGAACAGCAAAAGGAACATCATTCAAAGAATTGTATCTTGATCATCTTGCAATGTTGAACATCATGTTGAACATCAAGAACCCTCCCAAAACAAAACATCAAAACAACACAAAACAATCTTTCGGAATGTCCCAGGCGCAACGTACGCACCGCAACTCCGTCGCACCCACTCCATCCGCTCCTCCATTTGCGTCCCCACCGGCCTCAAGGGGTCGACGTGTGCGACTGCGCATCGCTTTCGCTCCCCCATTGTGATCAGATCTGGGCATCCCCGATCATCTACCCAAACGTGAAACTGGACACATCCGGTGACACAACAAGCCACTGCGCCCTATAAAGCGCATCCAAGTTCGACGTTGCACGCAACTGCAGATGCGTCGACGACCTCACATTGGTCGACAAATCTGGGGCTTCACACATCGGGGCTGCCAACCAGAAAGCAATGTACAAAGCCTCGTCTGGCCGAGTTTCTGTCCACTCCTGGTCGTTCTGGTGATCTGCCCCCCGCCCCGTTCAATTGAAGTTGCGAGCGACCATGCGAAGTAGGTGACAAATATATTAGTCCAACTTCCCCCAGAAGGCTCTTGCAATGATGAAATTCAGGAAAACCTCTCTTGGAGTCAAGCAAATGGACCTACAGAACTATTGAACCCCTCGCCATGTTCGTGGGAACTCGTCATCTTCAGTTGCCCTTGGGTCCCGCTGCCATCATCAGAAACTCCAGAAGCACGCGCCAGGCACTGCCAAGGACCTGCAAAGTATTTGAAAGGGCTGGAAGAACGAATTGCCACTTTTGTCGACACGTGTCGAAGCATGTCGAAGCCCATCTTCTTTTTCGTGGTGAACAGTGGGCTTGCAGGTCGGCAAAGCCAGATGCGCTGGGTCTGGACTGTTGCCTTTTGGCAAGTCTCAGAAAAAGATGGTACATCGCTCACCGATGAGCGGAGTAGCGGCCATCTGGAATTGTTCCATGCCAAGTTCCTGGTCTTCACTGCTCCCACAAAGCTCTTCAAAGGTTCCTTCAACTGCTCGCTCGATCAAGGTACTCCTCTCCTCCTCATCTGGAAACTCCGGCAGCACATCATCCAACAACTTCGTCAAATCCTGCTTGGAGACAGTGCCTGAGGCTTCAGAGCTATACAAACGGAACAAGAACCTCATCTTGTCGTCCAGAGCTGCCTTTTCACTGAAGACGCTCAAAGCCGAGGCTAAAATCACAAAGTCCAGTTCTTCCGGCAGCTTCAGAGCTGAGACCATGCGATCTTGCAAGGGGCCCTGGAAATAAGGAACCTCCTCGAAGGAAGACACCGTTTGAAAATCAGAAACGTCCACCTAAAAGCTATTCAACCGAGGGAAACCAAAGTCCACTTGGTGAACGCGGGGCATTGGACGTACAAATCCTAAATAAGCCCAATCAAACTAAGTGCGGAAGTGCTTAAGAATATTTAACCTCTCCTGGATGATCTTTTCAGCATTCTCGTTGGAGTTCCCATCGGTAATTCTCATGAAGCTCATGTAGAGCCGAGAGATCTCTGCTCTGGTGAGGCCGGTGCGGCAACATAACGCTTCAAAGTCCTCGTTCGAGAGCTTCCGGGCGTTAGGCGGATGCACGCGCTCCATCTGTTGATCCGCGATGTAACGCCCTAGGAACTTCATGCTGGCGAAGAGCAGCCCAGCGATCAGCACGAACAGGGCGATGGTGCCGTAGAGCCATGGCGCTTGGAAAGCGATGTCCAACATGGAGATGTTCAGTGAGATTCTCGGAGCCCGGTGCCCACTGTTCCCTGTCCATCTTGCGAAAAAGGACTTCAACCATCAACAACCTAGGTTCCACAAAATGACTCTGGAATCTGATAATATGATAATATGAGCTATAGCTATTGACATCCATTGACCGCTTTCGAACCAACGTGTCTTGCGCCAGCAATAGCCCACAATTCCTTCAAGGCCATCGCCGTTCTGCTCCTTCGATATCAAAAGCCTTTGATGCTTCTAGAATCCGGTGTATCACTGTGGATAAACATGCCGTAGGCAGTGGTGGGAATTCTCCAGCTTTTTCTGCACAGGCCTCTCCGACAATGGCTGAGAGAAGCTCCTGTGAAGCGCACATGGCCTGGTGGTTGTATCATGAACCAGGATTGGAGCAAATCATTGGCCGTAAGGATTGTCGAGGGGTTGTAGAACGGACCTAAGGAGTCCATGCTAAAGATTCCGGAAACCTTTGACACAAGACCATGGGAAAGAAAAAGGGGAAGGAGAAGTTTGATTGAACCTGGTTGGTTCGCACCCGGAACGTCAGCCCGTTCGTCGTTCATCTTGCTTCGATTTCGTGTGTGTGCTCGGTTTCTTCAGCAAAGCCATCTGCAAAGCACCCGCTCCGGCCCGCTCCTCGACCTTTTCCAAGGCACTTTGAGACACATCCTTAGCAGAGATCAACCTGGTGATCAACCTGCCACGTTGGCGCACTATGTGATCGGCCTGCCCGTTTCTGGACAGATCTACCTCTGAGAAAGTCTGCGCAAGGTGTTGCCAAGTCGTGTCATCGGAGATCTACCTCTGAGACTCTGAGTAACTTGTCTTTCTCGCTGTTTCTGGAGTAAGCTGCAGAGGAAACTTCCAATTGCAAAGTCAACAGAATCTAAGCTACAGCCGTATGCCAGCACTTATGCTGCCAGCAGTTCATGCTAGCAGGTCATGCCAGGTCATGAGGACTCCATCGTCTGCTTTCTCACTGAGCTTCGTCACTTCTGCAAAGGCGGCGGGCATGGATCCTGGCCACTCAGAGTGTTGGTTGTTTAGTTGGAAAGGAAAAGGAAAAGAAAGGCAGAGGGTCAAGTCGACTTCAGAGGTCTTTAGTAAAAATATGGAAGAATGTCTTGGCCATGCTTGCCTGTTTCACCAATTTCTGATTTAAAAAAAAAAAAAAACGTATATAGAACAAGCCAGCGTGGTGTGGTGGAGCCATTCTTCTGTAACCATCAAACGTGTGGAGAAGCATCGGTGCATGGATTTGAGAGAATCAGGCCTGTGGCATGTGACACGATCTTCTGCACTGCTTGTGCCACCTTGGTGTGAATCTGAAACCATAATATGTTCTATTCTGCACTAGACTTGCTGGGCAGAAAAGGTGTTAGATTGAGTAGAATGAAAACCCTTGGATTGTCCTCCCCGATTAAGCCATCAAGAATCAGCAAGGCATGATGATCCTCAGTCCCAGTCTTTAACCTTAGGTTCCCGCAGTTCCCATTGGCAGGTCTTTTTGGTTCGTCAAGGCCCCACGCATTCTCAGCGCCTTTCTTGTAAACCTTCCAGTCATCCTCACAATTTCCGGCGGGGTCATTGTTCACTTAGCGGAGGACATTTGGTGTTCCAACACTCGGCGCTTTCTCAAAGCGGCGGTTGTTTAGGTGATGTTCAGTGCATTGAAATCCGTTTCTGCCTTTTCGCTGTGGCCATCGACCATCCACCTTTCCACTCTCACGAAATCGGATCGAGGACTCATGAGGGCTCTAGGACTCGATCGGTTGGATTGAGGATCAGATCGAGGACTCAGATCGGTTGAACAAAAGGACTCCCAGACTGCAGTCAATCCACTCGTGTCGATCCAAATCCTTGAGACTCACAGGTTCTGAACGACCTGATGACACCGTGATTTTTCTCGGACGAGCACCGGTGCGAGCACCTGTCATCCACCGAATCCGAACGGCGGGGGCATCTCCTGCAATCTCAGCACCGATTGCACAACCTCGCAACGCATGGATTGAACAGTCCAATCTTCAGGGCTAGAGGTGACTGTCTTTGGGCATGTCCCAAAACAAATCCGAAGGTCCTCCGGGTCTGTCCTCCAAATACATCCAAACACCGGTGTCTCTTGGTCTTCCCCCCTGTCTCTTGATCCTCTCTCCCGTTTCAAGTCGTTTGAGGACCGTCTTCTTAGCATCCGCACCATGAGGACCACCCCGATCACAGCACACACCACAAGAGCCACCACAATGGCGATGGCCACCTCTCAGCACGGTGTCGATGGCTATCCTCTCCCTCTCCGTCGATGGGCTTCACACCGTCCTGGGTCCGGTGTTTCCTGGAGGGGCTTGCTGCAGCATGGGACACCCGTCGTGTACCCTGCAGTTCCAAAGCCTCCATCCGGGAGTTTGGTGCCTTGTTCTTTCGGCAAGGTCGATTGCGTTTGTTGGTCATTTGTGTGTTTGCTGGCATGGGCGACGCAAATGATAACTTCGAGATTGCTGATGTCGTGCAGAAACTAGTTGTGGAACAAGCAATGGTCTGGCCGAGAAGCCGTGTGTATTACAATGCCGTTGTGTCCACCAACCGTTAAAAGCTGTGAGCCCTCTGAAAGGTCAAAGTCAACTCAGAATTTGGAGGGTCTTATGGGTCTTACGGTCTCACCAGAATGGAGCCAAAAGATGGAGCCAAACCTTACCAGAATGGCACACCATAGTTCGGCAGCCTCGCCCCACAAGTTCGGCTCTCGCCCCTTTGCGAACGAAGAAGACGACTCAGCACTCTTGACATTCAAAGACAAACATTCTGGGACGACTCCGAACGATGTAACGCTACGAACGGAGCATTTCGGGCATCGCTATGAACGGAACAAGAAGCTACGAACGGGGTTCCTGGCCTTAATTACTACGAACGGAGCAAGGACGCTACTCGTGTTCCGATGATGGAAGTCACACCATCTTTCGCTCCAAGACACCCCGTGGAGCAGCATCCGGAAGCAGGGGCCAACACTTTGGGCCTCACAACAGACGCACCCAGCTTGTGGCGTGACGCACCCAGAGTTCGTTGATGTCCGTTTCATGTGTTTTTCTGTTTTTCTGCAGCAGTTGGCAATTGAAACAAAAATGGTGCGATGTTGAAGGCTCGAAAAAAGGGGGTTTCGCCGAAATGCTCGGTGTGCCTTAGCGGAGCATAAGACCCGTGCCGTTCCAAACAAACACATCTTTCCTTCCGAACAAGGACGCTACTAGGAACAAAAGCCATCGCTACTAGGAGGAACTAGGAACAAGGACGCTACTAGGAACAAGAGGCATCGCTACTAGGAGCAAGGATGCTACTAGGGGCTCCTGGCCTTACTACTGGGAACAAGGACGCTACTAGGAACAAAAGGCATCGCGGCATCGCTACTAGGAGCAACCCAGAGAGCCCAAAGACCTCTAATTAAGGGAAAACCCTCTAATTAAGGTAAAGCCCTTTGAAAACAACCTCTATTTAAAGGTTAATCCTTTAATTAAAGGTCTTTACCCCTTAATTAGAGGTCTTTGGTCCCTTAAAAAAGGTATATATAATCCTTTAAATAAAGGGTTTTGGTGCTAAAAACATACAACCTTTAAATAAGGGGTTTTGATGGCTCATGATTGGTGGGAAAAACATGTCAAACACATGTTTAACTGAAATGTTTAATCTGGTGAAATCTCCTGTTCCACTAAAGGAGGTGCCTCCTACATGAAGGAGCATTTATCATATTAGTTGTATATTGTCTGTTTGAAGGAGAAGCCTCCTGCAAAGGAGACTTCTCCTGTTACCCCATCCCAACCCAGCAGCTGCAGCACCTTTTTTCTCAAAGCGAAGGGACCTGGTGCAAACAATTTTGTTTTTAGCCATGAAAGCTTCAGGCCTCGGCAATACCGCCACCGTGTTTCCATGCACTGTATGGGCAAGCCGGTTTCTGTCCTGCCAGAAGCAAAACTTCACCTAATGTTGTTGCGCAGTTGGCACCCTCCCAATAAATTAAGACTCTAAACACTTCCGCGTGAGCCGTGGCGCGCCTTCTTGCTGAGCACTGAAGCGGCGCCAGCCTGAAAAGGAAGACCGTGAAAGACACCAAGTCTCAATCTCTGGGGTCTATCCCTGCCTGAAACCGTTTCCCCCAAGCGAGGTTTGTCCCCTGCGAGGGCGGACACACCGCGGAGCGCTGGACAAGGCCCTGCCGCGCATGCTTCCGCATGAACGCGGTGTCCTGCGCCTGAAAACGCCAAGGCAGTGTTTTAGTTCAATGTGTCGGGGCTGAAATCGAAACAGGAAAGCTCAGGTTGCGACAGTGCGTGGCAGAGCGGCAGTCTGCGGACATTGCAACCATCATCACAAACGACCATATGAGACGTTGAATGGAATCAGAAAACGCTCGCCTTTCACTCAGAAACAGAAACAGGGCCTGCCTTCGTCGGCAATTGCGGTTGAAGCAACGGGTCATTTTTGATCTGTGATTTTTATAATCGGGCCTAGAAGGGCTATGACTATGAACAAAACACTCTCCATACAAGTCCGACTGAGTGGCTGGCCGGAGGCACGCTGAAGTCGACGCGTGCGGAGAATACCTTGGCTAGCTAGAGGACGGATTGTTCAAGTTGCTGTGCAAAAAAACAAAATCAATTTCTCATTTCTATTCATGTGTCTCCCAAGTCTGTCACCGGCGGTGTCCGCCCTTTTCCGCTGGTCGCGTAGCATTTCTATTCATTTGTCTCCCAGGTCTGTCACTGCTGGTGTCCGCCCCTTTCTGCTGGCCATGTAGCATTTCATGGAGGTTCACAAAGTGCTGTGCCTGCCACGAAATCGGCACTTCAAGAAACAACTGAAACCTCTAATCACAATGGAGGGACGATTCCGAGCATGATCCGACCATGATCCGACCATGACCCGAGAGCGTCTCGCAACCGTCGTTCCGGGGAGCTTCCTCGTCGAGGTTTGGAGAGGCATAGAGGTTCACAAAGTGCTGCGCCTGCAGAGGTTCACAAAGTACTGCGCCTGCCACGCAATCTGCACATCGAGGTT